GAGTCAGAATTTTCTTGTGAATCCTGATATATTTTAAAGGTATGAGAGTGTGTGTGAGTGTGTGTGTGTGTGTGTGTGTGTGTGTTTACACATACAAACAGCTGCATATCATAACTGCTATTCCATACATTGCCTTTTCACTCTTATACATGTTTTTTCCTACTGGTATTTACAGAGGTGTTTGAAAAGCACTTTTTATTTATTTATTTATTTTTATTAGCTACACATGACATTACAATGATCTTAGCAATTCATACATTTGAATCAATTGGGGTATAATTTCTCATTTTTCTGATTGTACAGATTGCAGAATCACATTGGTCATACAGTGAAAAGCACTTTTTAAATAGAAGTTTTAAAATCTCCCTCCTAGGACATAATTGGTTGGAAATGATTATTTCTGCCCGAGTCACTTACCTCAAGGCATCCTGGGATTTGTAGTTCTCCATCAGTTAAGTACTATATGGAAAACAGGGCCAGAGCAAAATCCTGTGTTCAAAACTAAAGTGCCCCTCCAGCAACACTGTAGAAAGACAAATTATACCATGTTGTGCAAGTTGCTATCATACCTAGAAGAAGATTTTTTATTCATTGAAACAAACAACATATCTACCTCCTGTGAGATACCCAGGAAATCAAGAAATTGGCATCAGGAAATCAAGATTATCTGATTCAGTCTGATTTAGCCCCTCACTGGACCCATTTTAGCAGATGGGGGCAGAATATACATATGATCACATATAACTTTTTTAATACATTCTTTTGTACCTTTGAGTTATTTTTTATGTACATGTATTAAATATGTTTTTAAAAGTACATTTAAAAAGTAACAATTGGAAAAAATGGTCTTTAGGCACTTTCTATGACCATGATTTTGTCTTCTTCTATACCCTGACTAAGTTAGTAAGCATTTGTTGACTAGATTTTACACATACACACACACACACACACACACACACACACACTCCTCTCTTCCTTACAGCACCACTTTGGTCTTTTGAATCCCAAATCACCCTTGAAAATTATGTGACAAATTACTACTTAGAAAGCTTCTCTCATAAACCAGTGTATCAGAAAGGACATATATATCATATCCACTCTCAGTGATATGCATAACCAATTGCCTTATTAACTCAGGCATTTACTCTTTAACATTTGTTAAATCAAAAAGATAAATGAATAATGGTAGCATTGTACACACCAGCTAACGTTATTGAAGAAGATTCAATCAGAAGCCTGATGGAAATAATGATTCTTTCAAACATTTGGGTCCTACAGTAATTCTCTGATATCCCCTGGCTACTCTGTACCCGATATCATTCCCTTATCCAGAGGTGACTACTTGCCTTCCAACCCTGTTTCTATGCATTTACATATTAATTTATATAAAATCTGGAAATTTAGCTCCTTATGTGAATTCTACATAAATGTGCCTGCCCTATGAACATTCTGGAAATTGATTTATTGTTGTTGTTATTCAACAATATATTTGGAACTTTCTTCTGTGATAATACATAAAGATTGATCTGACTTTTATTTACTGTTATGTGATACTCTAAAACACTGTGTCTCAAAATTTAACATTCATTCAAATTATCTATGGATCTTGTTAACATGTAGATTTTGGATGGGTCTACAGAAGCCCTGAGGTTCTGTATCTCTGAAAACCTCCTAAGTGTTATTGATGTTGTTGGTCAACGGAATGTACTTTTAATAGCAAAGATATGGAGTGTGGGTGGAGTATTCTGCTGGAGCCAATTTAGATCAGTTCATGAGAACTAGGGAATGTCAAATCCCTAGGATTTGGTGAGGCTGCTGTTTTAACACAGAAATCATTAAAACATTAAATTATATAGAATTGCATTTAAGTATATTATGTTGCAAATAGAGATGATAAAAAGTTAAAACAATCATCACTTTCCCAATTATTCAATTCCACTTATTCCTAAATCTATGCTCTTGAGGTTATTTATGTTCATTGCATGTGAATGATGAAAATCTATACAATGACATGGTTCTACACATCTCTTCCCAATTGCTGTGTTCAGTGACATCATGTTGGAAGCTTGAAATCAACTTGGGGAATGTTTACACTATAGAAAATTGGGTATGACGGCAGCATTACCCCAAGCCTCTCCAAAACATTACCAACTTTTTCATTATTGTTAATCATTTTTTTGGAGGGTGCTGGGGATTGAACCCAGGGCCTTGTGCATGCAAGGCAAGCACTTTTGCCAACTGAACTATATCCCCAGCCCCCACTATTTTTGTTAATCTTATAAATAAAGATTAACTTGTATTTCCCTGATTAAAGTGACATTGGGTCTCTCATATGATCATGCATAGGAATATAATAGTATTTATTGCTCTTGCAAATAGGACCTTTTTTCTTTTTATATTTTCTACTTCTTTGTTGTACAAGAAAGCAAATATTTATTTATTTATTTTTTAATCTGGCCATTGCTTCTCCCAGTTCTAATAGCTTGACAGTTTATAATGTGCAGCAGTTATAGCTCATCAGTGTCTTAATTTGAATTTCAATAAGGGAACTTCTGTTATTTCCTTGCTTTTTGCTGTAGATTTCTAGCAGAAATCTTTTGTTGCTTCTCTTTCTAGTTTCTTTCTTTCATTTTTTCTTTTTGTACCAGGTATTGAACCCAGAGGTGCCCTTATTATTTTTTTTATTTTGAGAACCAGTCTTGCTGACTTGCTCAGGGCCTTGCTAAGTTGCTGACGTTGTCTTTAAACTTGCAATATTCCTGCCTCAGCTTCCTAAATTGCTGGGATTACAGACCTTTGCCCCTGCACCTGCCTTCTTTCTCGTTTCTTAGAGGATGTTTTAAAAATCAAGAATAGAGGTTCAATTTATCAAATGTTTACTTTTACTTTCTAAGTTATGCACTTTGGTGATGTATGACTTTCTCACATGAGCATGTACTCTTTTGTGATCAGAACATTAAAGATTCTTTTTTAGGTCTCCTTCCTTTATCCACTCATCCCTTGTTATCTGTGAGGTTTTGGATCCAGGACCCCCAGTGGAAACCCAAATCCAAGGATGCTCAGTCCCTCACATAAAATGGTGTAGTATTTGCATATATACTATGCCCAATCTCCTGTATACTTTAAATCATCTCTCCATTACTTAATAAAACACAAATGCTATGTAAATAGTTGTTAAATCATATTGTTTAAGAAGTAATGACATGGAAAAAAGGCTGTACATGTTTAGTACAGGTTAATCTTTTTTTTCCCAAGGACTGACTGAAGACACTAGTCCTGTATGGCTCTACTCATTGTCTTCCTTGAATGTGGCCCTTCTCTAGGAGTCAGCCTCCAGCTTCTCAGAAGTCAAGAATGTTCTTTTTACCCACCTTTATCATGTGTGATGGTACAGACCTGTAATTCTAAGCACTTGGGAGGCTGAGGCAGGAGGATTGTGATTTTGAGCCCAACCTGGGCAACATATTGAAACCATGTCTCAAAAATAATGTTTTCACATGACCCACTTAGTACAGAACATTATACAGAATGGTATTTCAATGAGTGGTTAGGGAATCCCAAGATTTTTTTTCTTTCTTCAGAATTGCAGAATGAAGTCAGGACTTCATGTGTTCTAAGAAAGCACTCTTCCACTTTTTAAAATGTTTGTTTTGAGACAGGGTTTCTGCTAATTTGTTCAAGCTGGCCTCACATTTTTCATCCTCCTGCCTCAGACTCCCAAGTCATGGGGATTATACACATGCAGCCACTGTATCTGGAGGGAATCATATAAATTTAACCCATCACCTGGTGTGTGTGTCTTGAAAGCCTTCCTTTAATATTTACTCATTTGAAGGGAGGGTGGAAGGACCTTTCCAACCTCTCTGCTCCCTCCTTCATTCCCACCTTAAGCATGTAAATGCCAGATTACACCATGGACCTGAGATCCCCCAGTGTTGATAGCTAGGTCCTATTTTAAACCTTGGGTCCGCCAAAGTCCTGATCTGAATCCAATAGCCAGGCAGGTTTCTAAATTGCTACACACTACTTTTGACTTGGAAATATTGGAATTGCCTCCAAGAATATAGAGAGTTTTGTGGAAATACTGAAATTGCCCCCAAGAACATAGGGAGTTTTTTTTTTTGGTTTGGTTTTGTATCATTTTCAGAAGTGCAAAGAACACAGATATCAGAATTAAAACCCCAGGTCTGCCCAAATAGCCTGGTGATCTTGGGCAAGTCACTAATGTCTGTGCCCTTCCAGGACCTCTCTTATAACATTTACTAAAGTGTATAGAAAAGGTCTAGAAAAAAACCTGAAAAGCTCTAGCAGTTGTTTCAGGCCTCTGAAATCAAACCGGTGGAGTCCAAACTCCTCCTCTGCATTTGCTACTTCAGACAGGTTACTCCTCTCTATATTTTGTTAGTTGATGTTTAAAATGGGAACAGGGAAAGTCCTACGTTGATAGGGCAGTTGTGAAGACTAATCCAGATAACACGGTAAGCTTTATCATAAAGCTAAAGTTCATCGTGAGCGTGCACATTAGCCCTGCTGCTTTTGTTATCACAAGGGTGGCCGAGACAAGAGAGAGTACTTTGTACTGTACCCATCCGACACGGTGAGCTGGCTGGGGCGAGTACCCCACTTACTCTCTGCCCGAGGTGGTGAGGAGAGACGGCAGGTTAGCGGCTGTCTTAACACCTCCGGGACGCCAGAGGGCCCTAGCCTCGGCCCTAGCCTGGGCCCTCCGCGGAGCGGTGGGCGGGTAGAGGGTGCGGTCCGACAGGAGGCGGGGCGAGCGACGAGGCAGGGGCGGAACCGGGGCGCGGCCCAGCGAGGGGCGGAGCACACAGTGCGAGCAGCGGCCGACCCCAGACGGGTGCTGAGCCTGGGCGTGGCCGGACGAGGGGCGTGGCGGAGGCCGCGGTGGGGGCGGGGTCTGGACAAGGCCAAGAAAGGAGAGGAGCTGATAACGCGGCCTGACAGAGGGCGGGGCGAGGGCGGGGCGGGAGCGGGGGTGGGTAGGGTCGGGGTGGCCAGTGGTGTGGGCCAGTGGTGTGGGCCAGGTGAACGAACGTGACGGTGAGGCTGTGCAGGTAGGTGGCTGCCGCCCGTCGGCTTAAATTTCGATTCCAGACCCAGCCCGATGCCCACTCGGGCCTAAGGCTTGCGGGACACTGAAATGGGGGCAGGACTGACCCAAAGCGAAACCGAAACCCTGCTGCGGGTGATCGGGCCTTACTGGAGTTGGAAGGGGTGTCCTGTGACTAATTAGTTGTGCGGGGAGGTGAAGTATTTCTTCGTTCTGGGATGGGGTCATGCGCTCGGTGCAGACGGGTTCAGATTTAGGAGGTCTCCTGGGAGCTCGGGAGTTCCGCTACCGATCTGGATTTCTTGGCTCGGGATGTGGGGTGGGACTTAGGGGGCCGGGCTAAAGCTCTAACTAGAGGGCTGGCCACGCGGAGTAGCTGCTGTTTGGTGGTCCTTTGGCGGGAGAACGGTGCTTTCAGCCCAGAGAGGCTTAACCCGGGATCTGGGTCTGTCAGTGGGGAAAGGGGCGAAAGCAGAGATCTGAGCCGTGCAGCAGTAGCTGATGGGGGTGGGCATGGCGCGGTGAGTCGCCGGAGCCCTTACAAGAGGTAGGAGTCCCAGACCTGGTAGGACCCTGAGCGCCCCCCTCCCCTAGGTGGCCATGAGTGGCAGGGCCCGAAAGGAGGCGGTGCAGGCCGCGGCCCGGGAGCTCCTCAAGTTCGTGAACCGGAGTCCTTCTCCTTTCCATGGTAACTGACCAAGGCAAGGGAGAATAAGGGTGGGTGTGCCCCCACCAATTTCCATAGCTGTGAGAGGGTCCTTTTCTTACAGCTGTGGCTGAGTGCCGCAGCCGCCTCCTTCAGGCTGGCTTCCGTGAACTCAAGGAGACAGAGAGCTGGGATATCAAGCCCGAAAGCAAGGTAGTAGGGATGGGGATGGGAACAGATGGGTAGATCCCTAGCTGGTTCTCAAGTCCTGTGTGCCAGCTGGCCAAGCAACTCACACCCCTGCCTTTCATCCACCTTCTCCAGTACTTCCTGACCAGGAATTCCTCTACAATCATTGCTTTTGCCGTGGGCGGCCGGTATATTCCTGGCAATGGCTTCAGCCTCATTGGGGCCCACACGGACAGTCCCTGCCTCCGGGTAAGGAGCTAAGGATGACTGGAGTGAGGGGAGGTGTTAGGGGCCTTGTGGGGACAAAAGAAAGCCAGGAGGCACAAATTGGGGGGCTTTAGCCCTTGGAGCAGAGGAGTAGGTAGAACTGTCTTGCCCTTCCTCCTCGCTTTGGACCTTCATCTGATGCTGATATTTCCTCTGTATTGTCTCATGTCCAAATCTTGTCATTCAGCCTTTACTGACTTCCTACCGGTCTTCATGGTCAGGTAAAACGCCGGTCTCGCCGTAGCCAGGGGGGCTTTCAGCAGGTTGGTGTAGAGACCTATGGTGGTGGGATCTGGAGCACCTGGTTTGACCGCGACCTGACCTTGGCTGGACGTGTCATTTTCAAGGTGGGGACCAGGGTTGGGGACTGGGGAGGATCTGGGTTTCAACTCCCTGAAGATTGAATATCATGTTCCTTTAGAGTACTAGAGGAGAGGCCCCTGGGATAGAGGGGTAGGGGCAACCTGAAAGACCATTGTGGTTAGTCTGGGTGAATGAGAGTTTTGACCCACCAAAGTTGGTTGGCACCCTGGGTTGACCTGGTCTGTGGGCCACAGTGCCCCACCTCAGGTCATCTGGAGCAGCGGCTGGTGCATGTGGACCGGCCCATTCTTCGCATCCCACATCTGGCCATTCATCTACAGCGCAACATCAACGAGAACTTTGGGCCCAACACAGAGACACACCTGTGAGACTGGAGCAGGAGACTGTTGTGGCAGGGAGGGATGGATATGGCACCAGGTGACAGAAGGCCCTAGAGGGACCTGGGAGGCCTATGCTTAATGGCCATAGTCAAGTTCCACTGTTGGACCCCAGCTAATGTTCAAGCTCTGCCATTTGGGGAGTGGGCTGAAAATCAAAGGGCAAGGGCACTTCCCCATCGGGAGATGCCCACGTTTATGGATACTCCACCCTGCCATGCTCTCTAGCCCTCTTCATGGTACCCTCTCATGCCTCTCCCCGCAGAGTTCCCATTCTTGCCACTGTAGTACAAGAGGAGCTGGAGAAAGGAACTCCTGAGTCAGGGTCTGCCAATGCTACGGTAAGAAGGCTCCCCTGCTCCTGGGGAAGGTGTGCAGAGGGAGTACCAACCGGTCCTCTGAGAAGGGGCAAAGAAGAGGAGGAGCAGACCCTTCTCCCAATATCTTCTGTTCTGCAGGATGAACGGCACCACTCGGTCCTCATGTCCCTGCTCTGTGCCCATCTAGGGCTGAGCTGTGAGGACATCTTGGAGATGGAGCTCTGCCTGGCTGACACCCAGCCTGGGGTAAGGAACAGCTGCAGGAACCTGTGGGTGGGGGGACCTCCAGGATTCCAGCCATCCCTAGTAGGTCCCCTGAAGCATTCATCCCTCCACCAGCCCCTCAATTACTCTCATTTCTGTTTTCTCAATAGACACTACCCCACTGCTTTCAGTGGTTCTCAAATACGCAAGGTCCCCTGACCAGAGACCTGCCTACTAGGACTGTCTGTGGGTTGGGGAATCTGGGAATCAGACTTTTTCATAGATTTCTGGGGATCTCTGCTGCAGGTGATCCCTGTCTTCTTTGACCCACACTGACTCTGAACCTCTAGGGGCAAGAGGCTTAGAGGTGGCCACCTGTTCTCTGCCTCCCAGTTGCTGACAATAGGAGATTGCTTTTGTTTGTCAACTGGTTTTCTGTTTTTTACTTCCTTGGACTCCCCCCGCCCCTCCGACCATTTTTCCCTTTTCTTGTCCCACTAGAAGAGGTCAGGGAGTACAGCGCTTCCCTTCTAGGCAGCCCTGCCCTATCCTGCGTTCTCTGCTGAATCTGCATAGCAAGGAGAACAGTGCCCTAAGCTGGGGCCAGGGAATAGTTGCATAAGAACCTGAGGAGGCTGGCTCAGCTCAGGCCCTCGGGAGCAGAAGCCAGTGAGTCAGGGAGGAGACTTAGGTCAGGCTGCCTGTCCTGTGTGTCTAGGTCCTGGGTGGAGCCTACGATGAGTTCATCTTTGCCCCTCGGCTGGACAATCTGCACAGCTGCTTCTGTGCCCTGCAGGTGAGGAACTGGGGTATTCCAGGCACTCACACTCCACAACAGTTGGGGGGATGATCTCGAGCTCCAACAGGTGGTAAGAGAGGCCCTGGCCGTGCTCTCAGTCTGCTGAAGTAGACCACAGGGAGGGGCCCAAAGACTGTACCCCTGGCATCCCTACCCATGGCCCCTGTCCTTGCACTGGCCTGGAGTCAGGGGCTGAGGTAAGGGGAAGCTGAATAAATTCCTATTTAGGGTGCTGTGGTATCTTCTCATAACTCTGTTTCTGCTACTTTCCCTCAAGTTAATAACCCTTCCAGGCAATATCATCCGCCTCCTTCCGCTTCCCCATCATGTTCCTGGCTTGAGCCCACTTAGCCTTCTCTCCATTACTTGGGATCTCGGTGGGGCTGTCTTTCTTCCTTCTGGTCTCCTTCATTTTACCTATCTTTATTTCATCCCAGTCAGGCCTCTTTCTTTCCTCTTGCCCTCACTCCTACCTCTGCCCTCTTCAACCCTTCCTTCTCTGCCCATCCTGTGACTGGAGACCAGAGGCAGATCTGCGGACTGCATCCGCTTCTGCAGCCGGACAGCCGGGGGTCATGATCACCCCTCCGGACTTCAGTTTGTTAACTGAGGCCGAGCAGTTTACGGGGTTTCCATGTGTTGTGAAGCTCAAAGTCACTATGATCTTACCTCCTTCTCTCTACCTTCGACATCCTCTTCCTGCCTTTTGTGGGGGAAGGGTGGGAGCACCCTGATGATGGTTTCTCCATCCTGGTTGGAAAGTTTGCCACCACTCCTTCTGCCAGGCCCTAAGAGAGGAGGCCAGTGGGAGTCTAACTCATTTCCCTCAGAGGGAACATGGACAACGGAGTGTGGCCTCCCAAATTCTGGTGGGCTAAGCTGGGGAAGAAGGAATGGCAAGAATGATGCACTTGTTTTCTTGCCCATCCAGGCCTTGATTGATTCCTGTGCAGCCCCTTCCTCCCTGGCCATGGAGCCCAACGTGCGCATGATCACACTCTATGATAATGAAGAGGTATGTGGAGAGCTTGAGGAAGGGCCCCTCTGTGGAGTCTTTGGCAGCCAGTTTGTGCCATACACCTATCTACCATGATCCAGGGCTATTCTGGAGACCTCAGAAATGGGGGTGGGGGTGCTGCCCATGATTCTTTAGCACTTGGTGTCCCCTACTGGCTCAGCAGATATCTGCTTCTTCCAGTGTGACCCATCTTCCACATCCCTCTGTGCCAATTGGCAAGCTCATTCCTCAACTGGGCTCATTCTGCTCAATTCATCCTTGCAGCCCAAGGAGTCAGTAAATAGTAGGTCTTTGTGCTGCATGTGTGTGTTAGACTGCAATTGGAGATGCTGTAGTAGAAATTGACAGTGAGATAATTCTCTCCTATGTAACTGTCCAACAGTGTTAGCATTTCAGGACAGATCTCTGCCATCCCACACACCTGGCTTCCATATCAGGATTCAGGGTAACAGTTTGAACTTTTACCATCATCTCTACATTGTTAGCAGGAAGGGAGGAGGGTAGAGAGGGGATGGATGCCTGTGCCCTGCAAGGTGGGCATTCATTTCTGCTTATGAGCATGGAACTAGCATGGCCATATTAAGCTGCAAGGGAGGCTGGGAATGTCATTTGTAGCTAGGTAGTTAGATGCTTAGTTACAGCTTGGGTGTTCTGTTATAAAAGATAACTATGGATAGTTAGCAGTCTCTGTCATATGCATAAAGGGATGTTGATCACTGTGCTGGGGTGCCTCTGTTGAGCCCCAGATGTAAGTGGTAGGGGAGAGAGAAGTCAGTACAGAAAACCCATCAGTAAGTGCTATTTCTAGCCTATAAGTGACTGGAAACTAGTTTGGCCCCAGCCCACTATCAGGAATTCAGTAATGATCCAGGGTTGGAGACGTTGCTGAGGACCCCCTTAACCCACCCAGTAACTTAAGCAGGTCCTGGGCTAATGTGGATGTTGGACTTCTCTTGTTGGCCACCTGGCTCAGGCCCATGTCCAGACTCCCAGAGTCAGGTCTCTGTGTCCCCAGGTGGGCTCAGAGAGTGCCCAGGGAGCACAGTCTCTGCTGACAGAACTGGTGCTGCGACGGATCTCATCCTCATCCCAGCACCTGACAGCCTTCGAGGAAGCCATTCCCAAGTCCTTCATGATCAGTGCAGACATGGCCCATGCTGTGCATCCCAACTACATGTGAGTCTCCTGTACAGACAGTCCTCACACAGAGACCCAGGCTCAGCCCTGGATGTCCTGTCCCCCTCCCCTTCCCCTTCCTCATCCTCATTCTGCCTGGAGGTGCTCCAAGGGGGTCAAAGTCATTCGATGCCTAACCCAGGTTGTTGAATAGGCTTTATTACAAACTCCTTTCCCTCTATGCTAGAGGCTGCATGGTAAGCTGTGTTTAGAGTGACTCTGAGGTCCTACTGAGTGAGATAGAAAGAATGATGTGATCCCTTCTCTGCCCCAGGAAGGGTGGTGGGTGTTGACAGGCCCACTGCTGTGCGCCATCCTGGCCCTTATTGTTTCTTACAGGGACAAGCATGAGGAGAACCACCGGCCTTTATTTCACAAGGTGAGATGCTCTCTTCTTTGAGATGCGGGGCCCTGGCTGGCCCTGGGCCTCATCTCATTCCTTCTGAGCATACCACCATCTCTGCTTCCCCCTGACTCTCCCCAGGGCCCTGTAATCAAGGTGAACAGCAAGCAGCGCTATTCCTCCAATGCAGTTTCAGAGGCTCTGATCCGAGAGGTGGCCAACAGTGTTGGAGTGCCCCTGCAGGTAAGGGCAGGCCCTGCCTGGGAAGGTGTGATGGAGGGAGCAGGGTAGGGACACAAGTCAGTGGGCCCCCAAAGAGCAGGGCTCTTGGTACATGGCTTTTGGTGGAGGGGTATCCCAGGACGTGGCAGAATGGGAGTTTTGGATACAGACTGTGCTGGCTTTGCTATGGAGCTAGCCTTGTGAACTTGGACTGGTCTCCTAGGCTGGCTGAGTCTCAGTTCCCACGTATAAAGTGGGGGTGATAATGATGCCTACTTTGTTAAATTTTTATGAGGCTTAAAGGTTCAGTATGCTTCTGGCACATTGTGGATTAGTCTTGCCTTTTTCCCCACAGCATCCTCACTTCCTGTGTCTCTCTTATACACCCTTACTTCCTCCTGAGGCTTGGGTAGCCTGAGACCCCAACTACTCATTTTCCCTCTTCCCTTAAATCATCCATCTAGTCCTTTTTTTCTCAGAGAGAGAGAGAGAGAGAGACAGTGTGTGTGTGTGTGTGTGTGTGTGTGTGTATGTATACATACACATATATTTCCATATATTTTTTATCTATCTGTGTGTCAGGGACCAAGCTCAGTGCAGGACAGTGACAAATATAGCAAGCAAGTTTCAGTGAAATCAGGGCTAGGACCCTGGCATTCTGACTCCCAGCTCAGTGCTGCAGTGTCCCTACCCTGCCCCATGGAGAGCAGGTGATTTCATTCTCAGGAAGGCCTGTTAGAGGAAGTGATGTTCAACTACTAGGAAAAGCAGCTCTGGGTGGGTCTGGGGAAGAGCATCCAAGGCAGAGGGAGCAAGTTGAAAGTCGACAGGGGACAAAAATGAGCTTGGTCTAGTAGGAGAGAAAGCCAGGGGGGAGCAAGAGTAGTGGAGAGAAGCCCACCTCAGCTAGTCATGCAGGGCTTCAGGGGCTATGGAAGGGCATTTGGGTTTTATTCTAAGGCAGTGCAAAGACACTGGGAGATTTTTCTCTTGTAGCTTATGCAGAAGCAGGACATATGTACTTTAGAAAATTAGAAAATATCAATTTTTCTTTTCCTTTTATGACTATCAGAATCATGAAGTTTCATTGATTTTTTTTGTGATCCAGTCCACTATAATTATAATATTTGATGTTCAAATTTTCAGAAACAATAATACGTGAATCCCCAGAGATCTATACATATTCTGCCAGTTGTTTTTCTATACATGAACTAACACACATTTTAAAAATGAAATTGTATTGGATCTATATTTGTTGCTACCTGTTTTCACTCCATATCTCTACCTTCCCATTTCGGTAAAGTTTTGTTTCAATCAATTTGCTTCTCATCCTCAAAATATTCTTTACAACTGTTTGGTCCACCCTGGTTTCAAGTTCAAGACCAGGTATTATATATGGCTGATATGTCACTTAAATATTTTCTAATCTAGCATAGCTCCCTTACCCCCACCCCACCCTTATAAAAAAAATAATATTGGCTTGTTGAAGAAATCAAGCCGATTCATGAGGTGATACCTCATGTAATGTCTCACTTTCTGGATTTGTTTTTCTTGCTTCTTCATGTTGTCATGCTTATGCTTCTAAACCCTGAATTTTCTATAAACTGGAATTTATATCTAAAGACTTAATGATATCAAGACATCATGGCCACGTCCCCTTCATATTGTACCACACACATAATATCTGGGTTCACCCTGAGCGATACTAGGATTCACCACTGGACTGAGGGCACTCTCTAGTCTTCCTGTCACACGGTGGTTTTCTTCCCCTGACTGTATAATAGTTGTATAAGCTGTGAGTTCCCCATCAGACAGCTAATGGTTTTAACACCAATTGACAATCCTTGTCTAAATCAATAATTACATTGGAATTTACTGAAAAATGACACACACACACACACACACACACACCCATACCCCCACACACACATCCATACACACCCACCTTTCTTTCATCTCTGGAGCCCCTCTCCCTTATAAATTAGGGCTATTTGCTTATTGTGAAGTTTAATTCCTACTGAGAAGACAGGATAAATGCTCATTCTTTCCCACTAATAAGCTCTTTTCAAGGTGAGGTGTCATCCCAAATGTCACCTTCATGAATGGTGACAAGGGTTTCTTTTCCTTTTATGACTATCAGAATCATGAAGTTTCATTGATTTTTTTTGTGATCCAGTCCACTATAATTATAATATTTGATGTTCAAATTGTCATAACTTTGACCAGTGGGAGCCTTTTCAATGTAACTCCTGTGCCCATCTGATATGACTCTTGAAATTTTCCTTACTTTTTTATTTTTAAAATACCTTTATTTTTATTTATTTATTTTTATGTAGTGCTGAGGATCAAACCCAGTGCCTCACACATGCTCCACCACTGTGCTACAGCCCCAGCCCCATCCTTATTTCTTGACACAAGAAATTTTAGACTCTGAGTTTGAGGATGTAGTTCAGCAGTAGAGTACACGCTTAGCATACATGAAGTCCTGGGTTCAATCTCTAGCACACACATACAAAGGAAAAACAAAAAACTAAATAATAGGCTCATCTTGTGAAGTTAGCTCCCCTGACTTAGTTGCTTTGGGTGAAAAATGGTATTAGAGACTAAGGTCCGGGTGCGCACCAAGAGTTCATTGTTGGATGGAGGAAAGGAGATGGTTTTTTCTTTTCTTTCCTTCTTTCTTCTCTTTCATTTTATTTTATTTTTTGATATTGAGGATTGAACCCAAAGGTGCTTTACCACTGAACTACATCTCCAGTCCATTTTTAATTTTTTTTTATTTTGAGACAGAGTCTTGCTAGGTTGCTGAGGCTGGCTTTGAACATGCAGTCCTTCTGCCTCTGCCTCCCAAGTCCCTGGATTACAATATGCCACCGCATATGGCAAGGAGACAGTTCTTAGAGATCACTTCCATGAAAAGAGCTAGAAAAATAGATGTATTTTACAAGTCATGAGTTAATACTGTAATTCTTACTCAAAAATTAAAATAGCTATCACTTAGTGTATTGATCTTATAATTCTGTTCTCTCTTACGCTGAAAATCTTTTTTGGTTTATTTGTTTGAAATTTGGTCCCCCTATATTTCCCAGGCTGGTCTCAAACTCTTGGGCTCAAGCAGTCATCCTGCTTTAGCCTCCTGAGTAGCTGGCACCACAGGCATGCACCTAACATACCTGGTTGAAATTATTTTCCCCCTTGTGGTGATGGGGCTGTAACCCAGGCCCTCAGGCATAGTGTGTGCTCTATCCCTGAGCTACATTGCCAGCCTTCTGAATATGTTGGTGTATCTAGCATTATATTATGATTTCCTTATGTTTTCTTCTTTAACATATACGAAGAAAATAGTTTCAGAATGGTAACAGCTTATTTTTTAAATGCTAAAACTACTGAGTGATTTTTCTTTGTGTGTGTGGGGGGGTGATGGTATACATGAATGTGACAAGGATAGGTAGTTTTTAAATCCCCTGCCTGCTCTGTGGGGAATGGAATATGGGAGGTAAGATGATGGTAACTGAAGTGAGGGTGGTGGCAGTGCAAATAGAATGGGACCAATTCAGAATAGCTTGTCCTCTGGGGTCTGCCATTTAGTATTGGCTTTGTGATTTCACACTGGTAACTTTCATGCTCCAAGGGGCAGAAGTGAACCATCTCTCAGGCCCTTCCAACCCTGTAATTCTTTTTTTTTTTTTTTAAATTTTTTATTGTTGGCTGTTCAAAACATTACATAGTTCTTGATATATCATATTTCACAATTTGATTCAAGTGGGTTATGAGCTCCCATTTTTACCCCATATACAGATTGCAGAATCACATCAGTTACACATCCATTGATTTACATATTGCCATACTAGTGTCTGTTGTATTCTGCTGCCTTTCCTATCCTCTACTATCCCCCCTCCCCTCCCCACCCCTCCCCTCCCCTCCCCTCCCCTCTTCTCTCTCTGCTCCCTCTACTGACATTCGTTTGTCCCCCTTATATTATTTTTCCCCTTCCCCTCACTTCCTCTTGTATGTACTTTTGTATAACTCTGAGGGTCTCCTTCCATTTCCATGCATTTTCCCTTCTCTCTCCCTTTCCCTCCCACCTCTCATCCCTGTTTAATGTTAATCTTCTTCTCATGCTCTTCGACCCTACTCTGTTCTTAGTTACTCTCCTTATATCAAAGAAGACATTTGGCATTTGTTTTTTAGGGATTGGCTAGCTTCACTTAGCATAATCTGCTCTAATGCCATCCATTTCCCTGTAAATTCTATGATTTTGTCATTTTTTAATGCAGAGTAATACTCCATTGTGTATAAATGCCACATTTTTTTTATCCATTCATCCACTGAAGGGCATCTAGGTTGGTTCCACACTCTAGCTATTGTGAATTGTGCTGCTATGAACATCGATGTAGCAGTGTCCCTGTAGCATGCTCTTTTTAGGTCTTTAGGGAATAGACCGAGAAGGGGAATAGCTGGGTCAAATGGTGGCTCCATTCCCAGCTTTCCAAGAAATCTCCATACTGCTTTCCAAATTGGCTGCACCAATTTTCAGTCCCACCAGCAATGTACAAGTGTACCCTTTTCCCCACATCCTCGCCAGCACTTGTTGTTTGACTTCATAATGGCTGCCAATCTAACTGGAGTGAGATGGTATCTTAGGGTGGTTTTGATTTGCATTTCTCTGACTGCTAGAGATGGTGAGCATTTTTTCATGTACTTGTTGATTGATTGTATGTCCTCCTCTGAGAAGTGTCTGTTCAGGTCCTTGGCCCATTTGTTGATTGGCCAACCCTGTAATTCTAAGGTGGCTTCCTCCTTGGCCTTAGTGAGCATATAGTGCACATGGCTCACGACCTTCCTCCTCTCTCCAGGACTTCATGGTCCGCAATGACGTCTCCTGTGGTACCACCATTGGCCCTATCTTGGCTTCTCGGCTGGGGCTGCGGGTGCTGGACTTAGGCAGCCCCCAGCTGGCCATGCACTCCATCCGGGAGACAGCCTGCACCACAGGAGTGCTCCAGACCCTCACCCTCTTCAAGGTACTCCCACCCACAAGGTCTCTGGGCTCCTTCCCCTTCTAGTGCCTGGATTGGTTGCTGGGGCAATAGCACTAAATGGCTGGCCTAGGTGATAGGGACTGGTTGCCATGGTGCTACCACATAGGGAAACAGTGTCCTCCTACTTCTCAAGGCTCAGGGACCCTGACCATTCCCTGAAGAAAACAAGGGGATGGGGAGTGGATGAGGTATGAGAAGGGACAGCTTTCAAGCACAGGTGAAGTCTCTTGCTGGGGCTAATGTTGTTAGGAGGCGAGGATGGGGTCCTCCATCTGGTCACTCACTAATTCCGAATCCCATGTTGCCTCTTGTTGTAGGGCTTCTTTGAACTGTTCCCCACTCTGAGCCGTAAACTCGTAGTGGATTGAAGGCTCTTGACAAGACTTCTCTTCTACCCCTTTTACCAGAGAGAGAAAGTCTCAGCTGAGCTGAAGCTGGATTATTAAAGTGGATTTTTCACTCACGCTATGCTATGTTGTGCTTATTCAGAGACTGTAGGGGTAAGGGTTGAGCTTGGCATTGTTAGACCACGACGCAAGAAAAGACCACTGACTCCAATTAAAATCAAATTAAAGCAAGCTTATTATTTCGACCGGCCGGGCTGCCTTGCCCATCAAAATCGTGGGAGCCAAGGACAGCGGCGAGGCTTCTTTGTGGCCCAGTTTTATAGCCCAAAAAGTTACACAAAGGGGGGTTACAGATAACAACACTCTGAGGAGCATAACACAAGTTTACATTTTTGCTGGCCCCGGCATCAGAATTTATGGAGATCTTAGAGACTCAGAGAGTGTCGTTATCCGGCCAGGGAAGGCCAGAATTTATGAGGCGTCACTAAGGTTTAGGAAAGGGTTGTTATATGGTCAGGGAAAACCGGACATGGGTGAGTTCAGGGCACGGGCAGGCATTCCAATCAGCTTTACAACATCAACTAATGGCCAGGCCATACAGACATCCTGATATTTTTACAGAAAACAGAAATGAATCCTTCATAACTTGTGACAAGCTGGCTTCTGATCTAATGAGATAACTAGGCTAGGTATATCAGCATGAACCTCTGGGACCAGAGCACAGGGTGGCTTGGGATGCAGGTAGAGGAGGCCATGGCTCCTGGGAGCTGCTAAGAGTCCTGTTTAAAACCTCTTTTCTGTATCTTAGGCACATGCCTAAAGTGGTGGGTGAAGGCCAATGGGTCACAATTAGAAGGTCACTTCTCTTACCCCAGCCCTCCCGTCCCCTGGACTGTGGCTTCAGTGCTCTCCCCTTCTTTCATTCCCAGGGTAGTCTGGGAGCACAGCTCTGCCCTCTAGGGTCTCTGGGATTAGCATTAGGCTTCTTCTGAGCTGCACTGGGCTGCCTAGGCTGTTCCCCACCCTCCCCAACCCCTTCCAGGAGCTGCAAGAAGTTCTAGGAACCTATGTTTATCATCCTTCTCCTCTTCTTAGTCCCTGCTATCACTTGACAGCACACTATCAGGAAAAAGGATTATCCCCAAAGAAATTAAGTCAAAGTCTGCTTATAAACCAACCCCCCTGGGCTGGGGTTGTGGCTCATAGGTAGAGCGCTAGCTTACCATGCCTGAGGCACTAGATTTGATCCTCAGCACCACACAAAAATAAAATAAAGATATTTTGTCCACCTATAACTAAAAATAAATATATTTTTAAAGAAACCAACCTCCCTCTGCCTCCCAAATAATTGTACTAACTTGTGTTCTTCTGATTTTTTTTTGATACCTGTAAAAATTTTTATATAGGCCAGGCATAGTAGTACACACTTGTAATCCCAGCGGCTCAGGAGGCTGAGACAGGAAGACCTCAAGTTCAAAGCCAGTCTCAGCAACAAGGCCTTAAGCAATTCAGTGAGACCCTGTCTCTAATAAAATATAAAAAAGGGCTGGGGATATGGCTTAGTGGAAAAAGCAACACTGGGTTCAATCCCTGATACAAAAAAAAAATGTTTTTTTCTATATAAATATGAACACTTAAGTTTTCTAAAATAATATGGTATGGAGATATTTTCATATCACTACATATGTGTTAGACAGTTTTTTTGGTGCTATAACAAAATACCTAAGAAAAATAAAAGGAAAGATTCACGTTGGCTCATGGTTTCAGAGGTTGCAGTCTCTCCTCTGCCGGCTCCGGTATTTTTAGCCAGAGGTGAGGCGGAACACCCTGGCAGAGAAGGGCATGGCAGAGGAGCTAAGGGCTGCTCATCTCATGGCAGCAAAGAAACCTAGGAAGGGTCCTGGGACAAAATACACCCTTCAAAGGCAGGTTCCCAGTGACCCACTTCCTCCAGCTGGGCCCTACCTCCTAACAGCCTAGTCAGCTGTGAACTCAATAGATAATCCACTGACGGGGTCACAGCCCTCATGACCCAATCACTTCCAAAAGCCCTACCTCTGAACACTGCTGCATTGGAGAATGAACCTTTGGGAACATTCCAGATCCAAACCATAGTAACATATGAGTTTAATTTAGCAATGGTGAAAAGAATTAAAATCCATCTAATTTCCTCAGTAAAAGCAAAAACAAAGTACACTATGAAACATCATTAGGGTGTAGCTGTTGAGATGCTAAACATGAAGAGATCATAATCACAGTGTTGAGTAGAGGTGATTGCAGCACTATCCATAGAGCATGTTGGGATTTGTGCAAAACCCACTGACCCACAAAATGTATCTTGTAAATATGCAAATATGCATGTAGATATATAGGGTAAACACCTGATAAAATGCGCAACAAACTGCAGCGTGATTTTCTGGGCTGGGAGTGACAAAAGGGCCTTACCCTTTTTGTAGTTATTTCCTTTTGTACAGTAGAATGTGTTCATACATTACATATGAAATAAAATTTTTATCTTAAATCAATATCCTTATAATTGCTGCTCAGTATTGCCTTGTACAAAGGTACCATTACTCCTTCAGTCCTTAATGGACATTTTTTTCCTCCACTTGTTTACAATTCTAAACAACACTGGGATGATTATGTTCATACATACACCATTGTGCACTTTGCTTTCTTTTTTTTCCTTGGGATAAAAGGGACTTAAGCAATCAAAGTTATGCACATTTGAAATATCAGTAACTATTGTCATTTTCCCTGAGAATTGGAAATCTTGGAATGAAGAATCAGCCCCAACACTTAGGCTCAGCACCCCCAAACCAGAATTTCCCATTACAAGGGGCCTTACACTTCTCAACGCACCTTCATACTGAGCTTTTTGGATTCTCACAGAGGTTTTTTTTAAGAGGTTAGGATTTGGCCATAGCAAATTTAACCTATTTAAGGAACTCCAAGAAGTTAGGTTGACTTGCGTAAAACAAGATCAGGCACACCACCATGCTTGCCTTTTCCATCCCACCAGCTACTGTGAAGGACAGCTAAACACTATCTTGGACTAGTCATATTCATTTATACCTATTTGGTTAGATCAGAAAACCCCAGTGAGACAGACGTGCATATTTTCCCATCATAAATTTTCTCTTTCATCCAGCAAACATTTATGGAGTCCTGGACCCGTTCCATCCCCAGTGGAATTATCCTTAATAAATAAAGATGAAACCGAATTTTTTATTTAAATAAAAACAGAAATTTTTCAATCAGCAGACACTGAAGGATATTCTAAAGGTCAGAAGGCCTTTGACTCTGCACGTGAAGAAATAGATCTATCTTATTCTTAAGTAAGTTAAGGACATACATCACAAGTGCTAGGACAATCACTAAAATCATTTAAAAAGAGTATATAGATTCTGTGATGGTTTAAATTGTGATCTGCCCACCAAGGATGTTGAAATCCTAGTATGTGTCAATGCCAACTTTATTTGGAAACAGGGTCTTTGCAAATGATTGAGTTAAGGTGGCATCATCAAGTCGAATGTGTCCCTATAAAAATGGGAAATTTGGGCACAGACATGCACAGAGGGAAGATATGAGGACACATGGATTATGCCATGTAAAAACAGGAGTGGAGTGATGCAGTTCAAACGAAGCAATGCCAAAGCCTGCTGGCGAACCATCACCACCAGAAGCCAGAAAATGGCAAGGGAGAGTGTGCTCACGGGTTCAAAGGGAGCCTGGCCCTCTGACATTTCGATTTTCTTCTTTTAACCTCCATCACTGTGAGACAATACATTTCGGTTGTTTTAAGCATCCATTTTTCTAATACTTTGTTATAGCAGTCTGTTGAGAGCCACAGTTTAGTCGCAATGATGCCTGGCATTTTGCTAGAGAGAATGGTTGAAAGGTGACCCTGCTCCGGGATTAGGGCGGCTCAAGGATTACGGCAGATCCTGGGGGTGGGGGAATAGGGCGGATCCTGCTGGGATTAGGGCGGATCCTGCTGCCTCGGGCGCCCACTACTTTGGAGTTCCCGTTGAGTTCTCCCAGGGGTTCGGGAGAATTGGCTTGGAGCCAGGTGGAGGGAGTGTATTCCTGGAAAGTGTGTAGAGTGCCGGTGAGAGTTGCTGTTTGAACCTACAGGGCTTTGTGGCAGCTCGGTTATTTGTGCCCAGCCAGACTGTGGCAGTAGCCTAAGAAAACTAATACTACTTCAAATTAACTGAGTGGAAAATGGAATAATAAAAAATAATCAGTCCATTCTGCAACTTCAAATGGTTTAGCAAAACCATATACATATATATGTGTGTGCAATATAAATAAAGTAAAATTTATTGACACAAGTTGAGAAGTACTGACTGTAGGTGGGGACATTATGGGTGTTCATTGTACTCTTTCAATTTTTTTTCTATGGTTGAACACTTCTGTGCTAAAAGTATACGGATAAATTTTAAAAATTCAAAGCAGAGAAGGGAAAAAATGAGAAAAAAAATGGGTAGGTGAAGCAAGAGAGAGCACTTAATAAAATGATCTACTGAGACCAAAATATATCTAGTTAAACATTAAGGATAGGTGGACTAATTATTCCCTAAAGCTGCTACTTAAAAAAAGAATAGGTAGGCCAGGCACAGGTGGCTCACACCTGTAATCCCAGCAATTCTGGCCGCTGAGGTAGGAAGATTGAAAGCTCAAGGCTCGGCAACTTAGCAAGACCCTGTCTCAAAAAATAAAAAGAACTGGGGATGTAGCTCCGTGGTAGAGTGTTCCTAGATTCCATAGAAAAATAGGTGGACTAAATATTTTAGTCAAAATAAAAATGTTGTCAGACTGAATAATTAAAAAATTCTGTTTTTATAAGAGATACACCCAAACCAAAAAGGTTGACAAAGCATCATTATGGATTTGTTTGATCTGTTTCTGGGGTGTAGGATTGGGGTTTAGAAGGTAGGATTGGTAAGAATATAACAGGAAGAGTGAAAGAGGAATCAAGAGAAGGAGGCTAGCAGGGGTACTCCTGGTATAACCAGGCCTGCAGGGACCTTGGTGGTGGCCTTCCTGGACCTGGCTATTGTCTCTAGATGGAAGTGGGCCAGGAGAGCCATGCGTTGGTAGATGGGGGCCA